GTGTATTTTATGTGTGGCCCAAGACAATTCTTCTTCTTTCAGTGTGGCCCAGGGAAGCCAAAAGGTTGGACACCCTGGTCTAATGTTTGTGGAAAGGAATGATGAGGCAGCCATCTTTGACCTTTGATTTCTCGTAATGATGATGAAGAGGGATAAACTATGGATTTAATAACATTTGATTAACCTATACTTCAGCAAGGAAGCTCTTTTGTGGATTAAGCAACAACAAAAACCAAAACAAACCAAAAACCTTCAAGAATCATATGAAAGAGAACAGTGTTATTTTGTACCTACAGGAAAATAATCTATCTTCACGGTGTCTCCTTGATCAACATGCATGTTGAAGGTAACTCAAGGCATGGGCATAAAGTCTTGAAAGCTTACAGCCTCTTTGTTTCTCTCTACAGCTCTCTGATAGCCCTCATCATTCTTTCTGCCTTCAGCTGGTTTTGTCTTGTCTGACATCACACTCACAAAGCAATTTTTTATGCATGACTAAAAAGCATTCGAAGAAAAATTACCTCATTATATTATTAGTATATTGTTAACCTAATATTAACATATAAATATATAACAACACTAATCTAATTCTTGGACCCAAAGGCTTTCTCCTAGCAGAAGGAATTTCAGCCATCAGCAAGCAGGAATTAGCCACTTGAGAACAATTTGCTGGTATTGGTGAATGTGAGTTGTAGGGAGGAGAAATGACGAAGAGTAAGAGAACTATCTCTTTCTTTTTTAAAAATTTTATTTTAATTGACAAACAAAAATTGTATATATTTGTGGTGTACATCGTGATGTTCTGAAATATGTACTAATTGTGGAATGACCAATCAACCTAATGAATCAACACATGCATTACTGTCAGAGATATTGGAACCAGAGCAACTCCATCTTGAATAGGGACTGGGAAAAAGACCTGATGAGCTGCATTCCCAGGAGGTTAGGCATTCTTAGTTACAGGATGAGATAGGATGTTAGCACGAGATACAGGTCAAAAACCTTGCTGATAAAGTAGGTTGCAGTAAAGAAGCCAGACAAAGCCCACCAAAACCAAGATGGCGATAAGAGTGACCTCTGGTCGTCCTCACTGCTACACTCCCACCAGCGCCATGACAGTTTACAAATGCCATGGCAACATAAGGAAGTTACCATATATGGTCTAAAAAGGGGAGGAACCCTCAGTTCCAGGAATTGCCCACCCCTTTCCCAGAAAATTCATGAATAACCCACCCCCATTTAGCATATAATTAAGAAATAACCATAAAAATGGGCAACCAGCAGCCATAAGGGCTGCTCTGCTCATGAAGTAGCCATTCTTTAGTCCTCTACTTTCTTAATAAACTTACTGTCACTTAGCTCTATGGACTTGCCCCAAATTCATTCTTGCACAAGATCCAAGAACCCTCTCTTGGGGTCTGGATTGGGACCCCTTTCTAGTAACATCACCTCACATACTTATCACTTATTTGTAGTGAGAACATTTAAAATCTGCTTTTTAAAGCAATCTTCAAACATACCATATGTCGTCATTAACCATAGTTACCATGCTGCACAATATATCTCCAGAAAGAACAGCTGCTATTTCTATACGTCTAACTTCAACTCCTGGCTAGCAGGATGCTGCCGCCCAGGTTGTAGGAGGTTCTGTTTCAAGAGCTGTTGGGAGCAGAGGGGAAAAGGAACCTTGAAAACCCTCACCACTTGTTTCCCAGAGAACCCAAAGCTCATGGTTTTCAAAATTAAATAGTCATCAGAAACACCTGGAGGATTTTCAAAACAGATTGCTGGCTGGGCACAGTGGCTCACGCCTGTAATCCCAGCACTTTGCGGGGCTGAGGCGGGCAGATCACCCAAGGTCAGGAGTTTGAGACCAGAAAGGCCAACATGGCGAAACCCTGTCTCTACTAAAAATACAAAAATTAGCTGGGCATGGTGCGGGCACCCATAATCCCAGCTACTTGGTAGGCTGAGGCAGGAGAATTGCTTGAGCCCAGGAGGTGGAGGTTGCAGTGAACCAAGACCATGCCACTGCACTCCAGCCTGGGTGACAGAGCAAGACTCTGTCTCAAAAAAAAAAAAAAAAAAAAAAAGCCCCCCCTCAAAAAAAATTAAAACAGATTGCTGGGTCCCAATTCGAGAGTTTATGACTGAATAAGTCCAGCAACTGACCAAAGAATTGGCATTTCCAACAAGTTCTCAAGTGAGGCTGAAGGAAAACAAACTTTGACAACCATTGCTTTAGTCTTATCTTCTGTGACTAGGTCCTAGCCTTCATTTTATCAATGAGTTAATTGAGGTCCAAGATGCTAAATGACACCAATGACTCTGATGAAAATTCAGAGTTCCCAACTCCCAGCTCGGTGTGTTTTCTGACTGAATCTTCTACCTTCTGTAATAACATTGTGCATTTGTTTTCTCACCTCAAGACATCCAAATACACATTTTTTGTTTCAATTTTTTTCATACTGTGACCATAGTCTGCAACAATGCATTCCCCACATAATCCATATTATCCACATATTTGCTTTAGATATCCTTTGTTTTGGACCCATAAGGGTTTCATAAAAGCAAACTTTCTATTAATAGAATCTATAACTAGTTTGAGACATAATCAATATTTAAATTGAATTTGAGTTTCATATCTTCTTAAACATCTGTTGCCCATGCAATAACAAAACAGCAAACAGAACCAAGAAAATAGAGAGAAACCAGAAACCCATCAAGTGGGCAGTTAACTCCTGAAAAAGCAACATAAACCACTGTAATTAAACCAATTCTCTAGAATGAATTTGATTGATATGTTTTCACATATTTCATCAACTGAGTTAATATTTCCCTGAAAATAGTTTTCCATTCATTTGATAACACAATTTTTTTTTTTTTTTTTTGAGACAGAGTTTTGCTCTTGTTGCCCAGCCTGGAGTGCAATGGTGCCATCTCAGCTCACCGCAACCTCCGCCTCCCAGGTTCAAGCTATTCTCCTGCCTCAGCCTCCTGAGTAACTGGGATAACAGGCATGCACCACGCCTGGCTAATCTTTGTATTTTTAGTAGAGACGCGGTTTCTCCATGTTGGTCAGGCTGGTCTCGAACTCCCAACCTCAGGTGTTCCACCTGCCTTGGCCTCCCAAAGTGCTGGGATTACAGGCATGAGCCACCGTGTCCAGCCCTGATAACATAAATTTTTATTGAGGACCTCCTGGTAGCAGGCACTATGAAGGGCAAGCTATATAGTGACAGATAAAATAGATACTGTCCTGCCCTTATTATCTCATTTTCTAGTACGTTTAGTCAACCATTGGATCCACAAGTGTTTTAGCAAGTTCCTTCTAATTGATATATTTTAGGTTGTTTGTATTTTCAGTTGGTTTAATTACATAGAACTTAATTTTCAGAAGAGAAAGCAAATTAATCTGAAACACATATCTTTGTTAGAATAAAATGAATTTTTATATATTCCCAACATAAAAAAAGAGCCAGTGGACTACAGTGTAGAAACTGATTACATAAAAGTGAGATTATGTAAGGGTTACATTTCCTTAGTGATGGCAGATAACTCACAGATAGATTTTATTTTCTATTGACTGAGATTAAGTTTTCTTGCAACAAACTCACTGACTATTTATTGGGTAATAAACAGCCATCAGTTTGTCTTTTCTATAATAGAGATACAGGCCATGCAATAAACAAAATGTAGGCCTCTATACAAAACAAAGCAACAGCAACAACAAAACTCTTATCCCACGATTTCCCTGAGGTGAGATTTTCCTATCAACTCATTCCTAAATTTATAATCCTTTTTACCCACTTGATCAGAACACTTCCATTTCCTTTGAATGCTTCATCTTAACTGTACCTCTAAGGAAGAAGAACACATTTTGTATCTCCCTTCTTACCCTTCATTCAAGACAAAAATAATATTATAGATTACTTTGGTCTTTATATTCTCTCTTCCATACCTATACAAATCATTTAAAGATTGATTATTAAAGAGCAGACTCTTAAAATGTAACATCTTAGAGTCAGAATGTGGAGAAATCTAGTTTCAAATTCTGTCCAATTTAAATATTTCCATTAGAACGTCTCTGAAAGAGGATTGCCTGCCTAAATGAGCTCAGTGCTGAAGAGCTTACTAATTTACAATTTTGAGGAGCTTTCTTTACTGGGAAGTTCTACCTTCCATTTTTCCAAAATCTACCTCCTTCTATAACTTTCACTTATTCCACATGCTGGGACTACAGAGAAGTCAAATCCTTCTTCTTCAGGCAACTCTCCAAGTATCCACAAACAATATTTGTGGATTGTGCTCCCTTCTTAGTTCTTTCTTAATGATAAAGAACTGTGGTTTCTTGAACTTCAATTATTTCTATGATATGCTTTCTAGAACATTGCCCAATTAATTTATTTCCTCTAAATACAGTTCTGCTTTTCATTTTCTCACATGATATGCAGAGCTCAGACTGGACACAAAATTACAGGGCATATTCTCCCTTGGGGCTCTGTGTAATTCACAAATGTGATAAGCATGTATTATGAACTGAATATTTTTGTCTCCCTTTGCCCCCACCTAAATTCATATGTTGAATTCCCAACCTCCCGTGTGTGTGTTGGTATTTGGAGATAGGTTCATTGGGAGGTGATTATATGTGTGTGTGTGTGTGTGTGTGTGTGTCTTTATTATTTGCTTCCTGCTCAGCAAATGTTCATCTTCTCATGTGTTTATTAGTGAATAAAAGCAAAAAGATGAACAACACTGTTTAGAGACACGTAAAGGCCCTGCTTAGTAAAAGTGGCTTACTTCCTGCAACCAGTGGCTCCTTCTCGTTGCTGCGATCATGAGCACACTCTGCTCTCTGCTTTTGGGACAGATAGACATCTCCAGGAATAAGTGGGATCTATCTTATGTGACTTAACTCAAGTGCTGTTCTCAAGGGAAGAAGACTCAGGTCTGGTGGCCTCCATTTGAGATACCACAATCACAAATGGAATGAACACGAGCCCGGTGTTTGTGTTTAATTTTACAATAATTGTACAGGGAAACCCCCTAGTCAGCAAATCCAGGAGCCCTTCATCTCCCAAGTCAGATACTTGGGAGCAGAGGCCACTCATACTCGATACAGAGTCCAGAGGGTTAGTGTCCCCAACTCCTATGAACTGGCATCACCTTATTCTTGCTGTCAACCCAGAGACATTCCTTGCGACTCTGAACAGCTTTCATCCGGGCTGAGAAGATGATCCCAAATCATTTAAAAAGTGCTAAATTCTGTTCTTTATTGTCTGCTCCTCAAGGCAGGTCATCTATTGCAGCAAGACCTGTCTCAAAGTTAAGGATCACTTTGTTATTTGGAAGGCAAGTTGTAGTTACTTGTAAAGATAATTTATTTTGCATAAAGGTATTACTTTACAGATATGAGGTCTATACACACGCTCCTTTAATAACAGAAAGCTAGAAAGTTGACAGGAACAGAATAGCTCTCTCTTCGGAAAGGCTTCAAGGCTATCTGCCAGTGAAAAATGTACAAACAACAATCAGGTCTCCCCTTCTCACTTCTTCCGCTCTCCAAGTCTGAACCTAAGATGGCACTGGTCACACAATGGGAATATTTCAGTCTCTTCTCAAAACTTTGTGATCCATTTTGTCAGATTCTTGGTCTGTGACAGATCAAAGCTTTGGGAAGACAAAAATGGACTATCCTAATCAGAACTCGTTTCCTTCACAAAACTCCTTTCTGACAGAAAACTTCTTGAAGAAAGTAACACTAATATAGGTTCATCCTCTAAAGGAGATTCAGAAAACGTATGAAGAATTGTGACTGCTTCCTTATCTTTTCTCACACCTGTGTTTTTCAGACTTGGCAGATAGAGCTGTCCAGGACAGATTTAGTATCAAAATGTGAACAGAATACCTGTGTCATCTTGCTGGGATCCATCGAGCTAGGATGTCCACACTGAAAACATAACCGCATTTTAACTTCCTAACCACTATTCTGTTCCAGTTCTGTAGATTCTCAAAGCTAGATTGAATCTCCTTAGAATGCAGTTTTTTAAAATCTTGCTTAACTGCATGGCTACTACACTTTCTTAAATGTTTTCCCTTAAATAAACAATATTAGTAGTTCCTTTAAAGGCTGCCATTTTGCAATGTACAGAAAGAGCATTTTTGCTTGTTTAGACATTTTCACATAATCCACTCAGAGGAGAGGGCTAAAACAAAATGTCATCACTTCAGTTACTGAAATTACTCTCATTTCAAAGATGTTTTGGTAAACAAGTCAAAGCACCTCACACTCACCATCAACGAGTTTTACCCACATATATTCAAAAAAAGCCAAGTTTTGTGTTCTTTGCAGATTCAGTAATGTGATAGTTCCAGTGAATACAAGCAGACACTGAACAGAACTCTGATTCCAGGGTCTCTAGTGAGCAATATGGGTGCCTTCTATAAAACACGGGCTGAACCTCTGCTAGAGGAGTAACTGCATTATAATTGGCTCCCACGGGTTTTATTAGCAGTGGGACGGGAGCAGAGTGGAGAGCACCGCCTGGTGCCTGAGCAACCAGCCTCACAAACACCTTGCTGTAGGGATCTGGAGACAGAAAGCATGTTGTCAAGGGCTCAGTGGCCTTGTATATGGCCACCCTGGTTGGGATTATCAAAGCGCATGCTTCTGTAAGCTCTGTACTTGGTAGTACATCGAAGAAAGTTCCAGATGCTCTGAATTTGAAATGCTTGGAATTAAGCCAGGCTTGAACTAGCTGAACAGTAACTTGCTCTGTTTTTCCTACATTCCAAATCCTTCTAAAGGATATAAATGCTTTTGGGTATTCCAAACTATGAATATCTGTCACCTTTTGTGTACATGCCAGGAATGTGGCTAGATGACTGAAAGTTGTTCACAGTATAGGATTTGGATGCAGCAGCTTTGTCAAAGTGGAGTCTATGTCCAAAGAAGCTGTTTCCTTCGCAGATGAGAAAAATAATGTTTGTACTCATCTGTTTGCTCCTCCTCAGCCTCCTCTTCACACTCATTTTCATTATTCTACCCATGTAGAAAAAATGATGGAAAACTTTGGACCTCCAAAGAAACAACATTTCTAGAATAGTCCTGAAACCTCTAGTTACCTTGTCCTATCCAACCTCAAAAAGCTGCATCCCAGAGGCCTGTGGAGCTCCCAAGAGCTCTGCTAAGCTCAGCTCTGAGGGCAGATGGCACTATAGAACAGTCATGGATGAATAAGGAAACAGCTATTTGGAGGGTTTTTTCCCCCAGTGGTATTTGCCCCTGAATTTTTGGAAAACAGCAGCATGACAGTCCTTTTCTTACGAGAATAGTCACAAAGAGAGAAATGCAAACATAAAATGTAAAGTCTGCTGCTCAGACTGGGTCAGCCTGGTTGCAAAAGAGCAAGTGAAAAGAAGACTTTAACTTCATTCTATTACTTCTGAGGGTATGACAACAGTTCTAGAAAGTTCTTCACAGTTCTTCCCATTCTCTCTCCCATGTAGCCTTTGCTTGTGTTTGTTTGTTTGTTTCTGTTCTCTTTTCCTTAGGGCTGGTGAAGATTGAGTAGAGCTGGGCTGGTGGGATCAGAAAAGTACAGCAACAGCTCTAAGCTCTGAGCTCTCCCTGTGTGCAGACTTTGTATACACGTCTCCCACCTGATCTCAGTGTACTTCACAGCAAACATTTCTATTTTGCAGGTGATGAACCTAAACAACACAAGTAAGGAAGTTTTATCATCACAATTCAGTTCATGTGTGATTCCAGGATCCAGGTTTGCCACCACTACAGTAATAAATTGTCTTTATTCTTCTCATTTTTCTCATATTAAACCCCAGTCTAAGTCTTATTTTCTACACAAAATTATGTATTTTGCCTGGAATAGACCTGGATTGGGTGTGTGGGAGAGCCATCATGTGCCATGTGAGACATTGCTGGCCATTATCCAGGTGACTCCTTTAATTGGCAAATTAATATGCACATTTGGCAAGCAATTTCTGTAACTAGAGGAATTAACTACTCAAATTGAAAATGTCTATCTCTCTGAGATTAGATGGAAATACTTTGAAAAATTATTCATAGAATTATGAGCTGGCAAATTCTAGGTTAGCATTAGCCTGGATGCATGCTATTGCCTGAATGACACTAGCTTAAACAAACAAACACACAATAGGGAGACTACGATTTACTTTCAGGTCTTCTGATGAGTAACCTTGATGTCTTAGGCAGAGACTCCAATATGCGTCACTCCTAACCTCAAACTGACTGTTTTATCAACAGCCCTGGCTGATGAAAAATCTTCCTGCAACTGTTGTATTCTTATTCAAAGCATTCCTCTTTCCCCATTCCAGCTGGTCTAATAGGTGGATGAAAGAATTGCCAGATACACACTGCAGGAGCATCTGGTCCTGAAGAAAGATGGACCACACTTATTTGCTTCATTTTTATTCCTTCAGAATTTGCAGTAAATTGAGGAAGTCTATTTTGTAAGAGGTTACTAATGATGGGAGTACATGCTCCCGGCTTGGCGTGCAAACACACACATATGAGAAATGAAGAAACCTGAGTAAACACAGGGCCTTGCTGGAAGCAGCTATCATCTTCCAAGATTTTTGTGCCACTGGGTACAAGAGGCAACAAAATCTTGTAGCATTTTCAAATGGATTCTGGGTGTTTATATAGAAGATCAATACATTTTAGTCTTTAGAAATCAATGAATCCTTACATAGACTGTAGAGAATCACTTTCTTGGGAAGGCTTAGAGAAATGCCTATAGGATATTGGGGGAGTATTTTCATTAAAATGCTCACAAAGAGACAAAAAGACAGCTCCTATTTAGGAAACTTTAGTGCTATGACCAACTTATTTCAATTGGATTTTAAAAAAACATTTATAGGCTTTAAGATAAATGTAATAATTGCAACACTTCTTATGCCCTGCACAACACTAAGGATTCAGGTACCAATACTGCCCATCTGTACTCCTCTCTTGGCTGAGTGTTTATCTAATGTAGTTTTCTTTATGAAAATACTCAAGTGATATTACACACAACAAAATGTAATTTTGAATGTAGACGATGAATTTCACATATATTACCTGGATGATTTTAGTTAGGACATGGACAGGTCTCTTTGTTCACCGCCCTTGGTTCTGAAGTCAGTTCAGCCCATGATAGGGGTGAACTCAGCCCACTTCTGAGTCAACAACGAGTCAGTCAGTATGGCAACCAGTATCTATGGTTTCTCCAGACCCCAAAGCACAATTGGGTAGCACTGTTTGTCTTAAATTTTTTGTCTACCTACCACAATGATTGAAATTCCCCCATTAGAGATTCATTTCTTTAGCCATATAGCATTTTTATTTTTGTAAATAAAAAAGGAAATACATCAATATTTTATAAATATTTTTGATTGAATACTCATGGACTAGACTACCATTAATGGTGCTCATCAGATCACTTTTTTCCATGAAAACTAGATGAGGACAAAGCAGAGACTGGGAGTTCTTCTGAGATTGGTGGTTAGAAGAGTCTAAGGGAGAAGTCTTTAGAGGACATGAGGGTCTACTCAGAGAAGACAAGCACATTTGAAGAAACCCCACTCTGTGACAAGGTGTGATGAGTATCCAGGAGCCAGAAGAATGGCATAAAAAGGCCACATATTGCATTTGGCACAGGAAAAAAAAAATGGCTTTGTCATGTCTGGGACTTGCCCCAACCCATCTTCTAGAACTTTGCTACATGTGATTCACAGACCAGCAGCAGTAGTATCAACTGGGGGCTTATTAACAATGTAGAATCTTGGGCTTCATCCCAGATTTCATCAGAGTTTATATGTAAAGCAGATGACCAGGTGATGCATGTGCATATCAAAGTTTGAGAAACACAGGTCACTAAGATTCCTCTGGGTCATGATGCAATACATAGACTGCCCCTTCCTTAGCTGTTTCTGATTGAACAAGGGATGTGCGCCAGATCCAAGCTGGGCCAGGCAGATTCTCTCCCTGTGTTTTGAAGTTGAGACAGAGAGAAGAAAGTAGGAGAAAGAGAGAGAGAGCTAACCTCAGAGTCAGAGAAAGCCTGTCTGGAGAGAGAAAAAAATGAAGCAGATGTTCAGAGAAGCAGAAACAGGCTCTCTCATTCTTGAGATTCCCTCCCAAGTCTCAGCAAGAGATTTACTAAACCTGAGTTCTACAAAGCAGTGGGTCCTTATAATACATCCCCTCCTTATGCTTAAGCCAGTTTGGCAATGTGCTTGATACATGAGGCCAAAGAGTTCTTAACAAACATGGGTGGCAAGAGTATGACATGGACCTAGAAAGCGGGGGCAGGCCAAGTATAGTCATGCGCTGTGTAAGACTGTCTGGGTCAATGACAAACTGCATGTACAATGATGGTCCCGTAGGATTATAATGGAGCTGAAAAGTTCCTATCGTCTAGTGACTTCGTAGTCATTGTAACCATTGTAGCGCAGTGCATCACACTGTTTGTGGTTATGCTGGTGTAAACAAACCTACTGTTCTGCCAGACATATGAAAGTATAGCATGTACAATTTTGTACAGCACATGATATTTGATAATGAGAATAAAGAACTACGTTATAAAGAATAAAGAACTATGGTGTATGTATTTACCATATTATACTTTATTTTAGAGTACACTCCTACTTCTGAAAAAAAAAGAGTTAATTGTAAAACATCCTCAGGTAGGTCCTTCAGGAGGTATCCAGAAGAAGGTATTGTTATAGCAGGAGATGGCAGCCCCATGTGTGTTATAGCCCCTGAAGACCTTTCTGTGGGACAAAATGTGGAGGTGGAAGACAGTGATATTGATCATCTTGACCCTGGGTAGGCCTAGGGTCAAGATGATCAATATCACTGTGTGCATTTGTGTCTTGGTTCTTAACACAAAAGTTTCAAAAGTTAAAAAAAAAAATTAAAAATAGAAAAAAGCTTTTAAAATAAGGGTATAAAGGATATTTTTTGTAGAGTTGTATGTTTGTGTTTTAAGCTAAGTGTTATTATAAAGGAGTAAAAGAGTATTATAAGAGTAAAAAAATTATAAAAGAGTAAAAAGTTCATATAGAAAAAAAGTTATTGTAAGGTAAGGTTAATTTATTCTTGAAGAAAGAATTTTTTATCAAGTTAGTATAGCCTAAGTGTACAGTGTTTATAAAGACTACAGAAGTGTACAGTAATGTCCTAGGCCTTCATATTCATTCACCACTCATTCTGTCACTCAGTCATCCAGAGCAATTTCCAGTCCTGCAAGCTCCATTTACGGTAAGTGCCCTAGACAGGTGTAACTTTTTAAAATATTTTGTATCATCTTTTTACTGTACCTTTTCTATGTTTAGATACACAAATTCTGTCTGTTGTATTATAATTGCCTACAGTACAGTAACATGCTGGACAGGTTTGCAGCCTGGGAGCAATAGGCTAGACCACATAGCCTGGGTGTGTAGTAGGCTATGCCATTCAGGTTTGTGTGAGTGCACTCTTTGATGTTTATACTGTGATGAAATAGGCTAGTGATGCGTTTCTCAGAATGTATTCCCACCATTAAGTGATGCATGACTGTACAGGTTTGCCTGCTTTAGCCCAGGTAGACATAAATTATAAAATACTCATTATGTGTGAATGCTACCCAGACCTTCTTAACTCATGAATTACAGTATTGTTCTCAATCTGTTGGAGTTATTAGGCTGGTGCAAAAGTAATTGCAATTTTGCCATTACTTTCATGACAAAAACCACAATTACTTTTGCATCAATCTAATAGCTTTTATGCTAGGTCCATGCAATCTCACTTTAAGTCGGGGACACTTTGAAGATGGTCATCTGAATTAGCCAATTTTTTTTTTATAATAACCCACCCCTTTTCTCTCATTTCCACCTTTCCTACCTCAGCCTCTTTACTGCTGCTGTTCTTGGCCTGAGCAGTTCTTAGAGATAATAAATTTGTCTTGGTCCCCACCTTGGCCCAGTGAGAGTGAGGTCTGTCAGGTTAAAAGATCCATCTCCCCCTTTGACAAGGGTATGGAAGCTACTCCACTCCTACTTTCTCTTTGGTGACTTGGGGGAGATCATAACCTTCAAGGTCAGCATGTCTTGGAGGCAGTGTCCTTAATGCCAAGAGAAAGCAGACTGTTTGAGTAGTTTTCTGCTTTAGGCCCTGGAGTCTATTCAAGTTTCATGGGTGGAGCTGGGACCAAATCTGAATCCAAGTTGATGGCAAAATGATCCTGACCCCTCATCAAATGTTTTCAATCCAATTTCTCTAGAGGTGAACCATATCTCCACCCATCCTCCAAGATCAGGGCTGGATCCCTAGATCTATGATTGTGTAGACATCATTAGTGCTCTGAGCCTCTCAGAAGCTCCTGTCCATCTGCTCCAATGGTTGGCCATTACTGTTGTCTTAACCTGAAGCAGGAGGATTCTACCTCTTTGGACCAGATGATGTAGACTCTTGGCTTCTTGCTATAAAGGGCCAATCCTTCTGCCTGGCTGGTCTCATCTCACTTCCTGCCTCCCTGTGTTGACCAGGATATTGCTAGTCAGACAAACTGACTTCAAGCTCTCTCAGAATACACAGAATTCAGAGGATAGATTTCTATTCCCCCACATCTGGACAGATGTATAGAGGTCCTACACTAGGAAAAGCCATCAATGCCCATTCTCTGCTGCCTGGATGTGGGGACCTTTAGATAATGAATGGGTAGAAAGTGTGTGGTTTTAGAACCTGAAACAGCCTACGTGAACCAGCAGGAAGCCTAAACCAATAAAATGTCAAGGCTGACATTCCCAAAGTTATTATACTATTTGTAGATCAGACTACTTGTAAAGAATTTGACTGCCAAGGCAAATAATAATAATAATGAAAATAGCTTTAAGCAAAGGGATATCACCGGGCCTCTGAGACATTTCTTGGCATTTGCTATGATTTAAAAGATGGCTTAAGTTGTCTTTTCCATTTTACTTTTTAAGTGCTCAAGATGTATTTTATAGAATCATTTAAAGAATAGTATAACAAATGAATTCTAAAGACCTAAGGAAAAAAATGGAAAGCTGTCCTTCATCTTCTTTGAGGTTTGTTTTACTTACGCCTGCTCTGCCCTGTAAACAGGTGTACTATCACTGCAGCCCTTCCCCAGGGAGAGGTGTGGAACCAAGCAGCTCCCAGCAGCATCATTGGGGAAACAGTACAATTGACCCCTGAGGGCCTTTATGGGGTCTGAGAACCTATTGTGAGGACCAGAGGACCTTTGTCACTCTCTCTGTTCCTGCTCCTTCCCCAAGTGGTGCAGGAAAGCAAAAGTTGAACTGTGGAGAATGCTGCTTGAGGAATAGAGAGTAAAAGTGCAGAAGGGATTCATTTGAAACATTTGATAAGAATTTTTCTAAGGGATTACACAGTTCTCTGCTTTCTAAGAGTTTGCCAAACTCATTTTTAACTAGTTTGTTTATCTGGGATCTAGTAAGTAGGCTGTTTTCAGGGTCCCACTCTACATAGGTTTCTGTGGTTTCTACTGCAGGTCTGGATATGGGAACGCCACCATTTCTGGGTTCCCTGAGGCTAGACTTTGCTTTTCTGTAAAGAATCACCTAGAAGTTTCCAAGGTTCCAAATCCTGCATTCTGTTGCATGGCGTGGTTGGAGATATCCTCTCCAGCTCACTGTAAGGTCTCACTGCTATGGGTGGGTCTAGTCCACATTCATTTACCAACTGTCCCAGTCCTGACTGTGGCACCAAGTATGGCACCTAAGGTATCCCCATTGAGGGAGTGAGTATATCACTTCTCTCTATTTTTATAGCTGCCAAATATGTAACTTTTAGTCTTTAATCTCATTGAGAATCTACCCAAAATGTCTTAAGTTGTTTTAATTGGGAAGTTTTGCTATTCTCTTAAGCCCAATACATTGAAAATAGGATCCTTTTCTTTACTTTCCCACCTTCCTTATTTCAGCCAGAGGCCCTGCAGTGCTCAACAAGGCTGTACTTCCTTGGAGAAACCCAAACATGCACACATTCTTGTCTGTGATGATCTTGAGTTACACACTGTTCTGTCCAAAGGCAGTAGGGAAAGGGCTGGATTTGGAAGCCCAAGATTTTCTTTGAAGGACCTGCTCCTCACTTTCCTCAAAGCTCATATCCTTCCTAGTGGAAGGGAGGTCTGCTTATGATATCCTTCTGGTTGTGAGAGGTCAGAGAGGAAAAGCTGCTGAGGCAAGTGGGGGAGAATATTTTGGCACCTTCTTCCCCACAGAGAATCCCTAAAGTGTAAGTTGCAAAGTAGTGACCTGGTGAACTTGCTGCATTATATTTAAAAGAAAGAAATCTGTATTAGTTGCCAACATTTATAAATCAGTATATTTTATACAGACATCTGAATTTCCAGATTTTCTTTAAAAAAAAAAAAAAAGACTGGAATTGGCCACATGGAGCCTGCATTCCCTCATGACATCGTGTGGCAGTAGCAGAGCTGCAGCTGCTACTCTAGTTGGGGGCACATACTCTCCAGGGGCCTCAGCGCCATCACTGTCTCTTGTATTGAACCCAGTTGGCTTCACTCATTCTTGTACCTCATGCTTTTGGCTCCTGGAAGCATTTGAGTGTGTGATCTCCAGAAGAAGCTCCAGAGAGGAATTTTAGAGATTTGCAACGTCACCCTTAGAAATCACCAGTGCCATCTTGGAAACTATAAGCACTTGACATGCTGACAGAATTGAAGCGATTTTGAACCTTTGGATCAGAAAAGGTGACACCAGGAGGACTCCAAATTTGCAAGATCATGATGATTGTATAACTGTAAAGATAGCTATAATATCTTGACTTAAAGTACGAGAGGTGTCTGTCACATTTTCTTGACTATGAGAATATACCTTCTGGGATGTAACTGCCTAGATATAGTCAGGCATGCTACCAAGAAATGATCAGCCTGAAAAAGAGAGTCAGAGAATTGCACACGCAACACGAACTACTTCCAACTACTTTCTGTTCGAGCCATTTGGAGAGAAATCATTTACTTCCTTTTCTTTCACCAGAAATTGCTACATATAGTAAGACTTCAATCTTTGAATATAAATCATTAAAATTTTCCACGGTAATTGACTGATTATTTCTCAGGGTCAGTGTCTCGGGGAATATAACAGCCATGTGGTGAAAATAAGAAAAGTCTAGTATTTTGTAAAGAGGATTGAATTTTATATATATACATATATATATACACACACACATATTTATAAGATATATATATATATATATGTATATAGACACAGAGAGATTTGGTTAATTGGAATGACAGGATATTGATAGCACTTAAAATATTACAGGGTTATTTTGAGATTTAACAAAATAGTGTGTGGGAATCACATAACAGTGTCCAGTCAATGTTATCTATTGTTATAGATGATCAATTACTAGTTAGTGTATAACAGGTGGTTAGCCTTGCTCTAGGCATCTGAAAAGAACATCTTTTGAACACTGCATTACCAAGATGTTAGGAATGGTTTAGTCTTGTTCATTGATTCATGTCATTCTTCAGTTTATAAAGTCTGAATATCAGCAGAGGAGCAGAGGACCCCTAGTACATGGAGACTGAATTGTCATCCTGCTCTTATGAGTGGGGGCATGAGTAGCAAGGCAGCACATGCAGCTGATGGTGACTCAGTCTGGAAATTACTCTCCACTGGCCAACTAAAGTGTCACCATTCAAATGGGCATCTTCTAACAAAACATAATTTATTACAGAAAATAGAGGACAATGTGAAATAGATTAAAATAAGCTCTAAAACATATACAAATGGCCAACAGGTAAATTTTTTTAAATGTTCAGTGTCACTGATTATTAGGAAATGCAAATCAAAACCACAATGAGTGACCACCTTATACCTGTCATTATGGCTTTTATGAGAAAAAAGACAACAAGTGTTGGTGAGGATTTGGAGAAACTGGAACCCTTGGGCACTATTGATGGGAAGGCACAATGGTGAGCTGCTATGGAAAACATTAAGCAGGTTACTCAAAACATTAAAAATAGAACTATAATATTATCCTGCAACCACATTACTAAGTATTTATTCAAAAGAACTGAAGTCAGGACCTTGAAGACATATTAGCACCTCTATGTTCATTGCAGCACTATTCAAATAGCCAAGATATGGAAACAACCTAAGATCCATCAACAGATGAATGGAAAAATAAAATATGGCAGATGCATACAATGGAATACTACTCTGCCTTAAAAAGGAAATTCTGTAATTTGTGACAACATGGATGAACCTGGAGGACATTATGGTAAGTGAAATAAGCCAGTCACAGAAAGACAAATACCGTATGACTCCATTTATATGAGGTATCTAAACTAG